GGAGGAAGGAAGGGGGAGGGGGGAAGAGGAAAATGAGCTGATTCCGGGAACCCAAGAGGAAAGCAAATTTTGGGAATAATGAGGGCAACAAATGTATAGATGTGCTTTACACAATTGCTCTATGTATTGAGATGAATTGTATGAGCCTCAATAAATTGATTAAAAAATTTTTTTTATTATCAACGCTTTCCTGGAATATTGCATAAAGGAACACTTTCCTTTTCCCACAGTGTTAATGAATAATCCAAGGCTTCTTCCAGGATGTCTTTTAGTAAGGATTGGTTTTCCTGCTAAGGAAAAACACAGATCCTAGAAAACTAACATAGATGTGATTTATGAACTGAAGCAGAACAGCGTGGAGCTAGTTGCCTACCAAGACCTTATTCTTTCTTCTTCTTGGGCTGGTAGAGCCTTTAGAGCAGTGGTTCTCGACCTTCCTCATGCCGTGACCCTTCAATAGAGTTCCTCATGTGGTGGTGACCCCTAACCATAACATTATTTTCGTTGCTACTTCATCACTGTCATTTTGCTACTGGTATGAATCGGGCGACCCCTGTGAAAGGGTCGTTAGGCCCTCAAAGGGGTCGTGACCCGCAGGTTGAGACCCGCTGCTTTAGAGTTTTGTCGCATGAGCTTGCTTTCGCATTCTAAGGTGGGGGCTGCGGGTGAGTGCTGTAGGTTGCATAGTTACCCCTTTATGCCCCATCTGAGGAAGTGCTTGCTCCTTTATATGAAGGAACATCAGAAAGTGTGTGGGGAAATGGGATTAAAGGATAAAATGCTAAACTATCTCTCTCAACACAAGCTCCATCAAGTTCAAGACACTTCTGTAAGCGATGATGTTTGTGCGCATAACCCCTCCCTGTAGAATGGAGGGTTCTGGGAACTTAACCATGGCAATTAAGTCTATTTTACATTATTAACTGAAGAAAAATTGTTGTCCTGTAAAGATTTCTTTTTCTTTTGAAGATTAGGAAAGAAAAAGAAGTTAGGAGGAGCCTGGTCAGGACTGAATGCCTAATGAGAACTCTCACAAAATTGACCTTGTTCCATGAGCGGAATGAGCAGGAGGGGCCTTCACCCGGTGGAGAAGGAATCCCGGTGAAGCTTTCCTGGACATTTTTTCTGTTAAAGTTTTGACTAATTTTCTCCAAACACTCTCATAATAAGTAGTATTGTGGTTCTTTGGCCCCCCAAAAGACAATAAGCAGAATGCCCCGAGCATCGCCCAGAATTGTTGCTGTGACCTTTGCTCTTGTCTGGTCTGCTTTTGTGTTGACTTCCACCTCTTTCATTGCTTTGTGTGTGCTTTGTCTCCAGGATCGTACTGTTAAAGCCAGGCTTCATCTCCCGTTACAGTTCTTTGAAGAACTACTTTAGGTTCTTGATCCCACGTGTTTAAAATTTTCATCCAAAGCCCTGCTTTTGTCTGCAGCTGATCTGTGTACAGCAGTTTTAGCACCCATTGAGTGAAAAGTATGCTCAACTTAAATTTTTCAGTCAGGATTGTATAAGCTGAACCAATTGAGATATCTGTGCCGTTACCTATTGTTTCTGTTGTCTGTCTTCTTTAATTAGATTAATTGAAGATTAATTCAATTAAATATTTTCCTCAAGAATCGACGTGGACGGCCTGTCACTGTAGGCTTCACCTTCCGCATCATCTCATCCCCAGTGTGCGCCATGCCTTTGTAGGTGCAATAGCATTTTCATGCAATTATTACCTCTGGCTTTTAGAGGAAACTTACGGTGGAGTTGAGGAAAGAATTGGTCATTGAATAACTTCCTTCTCCTCCTCCCTCTTCTCTGTCAGTCAGTTTACACTGTTACCATGGTCATCATCAGAATAGGTAGCATTTCAGTAGCCATTGATTTTGCTTACCGGTATGTTTTTCTGCAGAAATTTATAAATGTGTTGCTGCCAATAACAAAGCTGTGTTAGGAGCCTCAAAAACAATTGAGATCATTAAGGTCCCTGAAAGTGGCTACAGTTTTGTTTTGTTTTGCTTTAAAGGTAATAGTTATTGTTTACTTCATAGCATGCATAGCATCCAACTTCTTTATGTCTGTTTATAACATGCAATACTTCTAACAACTCTCTGAGGCGGGTGGGTACAATTGTTACCCATATTTTTAGTAAATGAAGAGACCAAGAAACAAAGAAAGAGGTAAATGCGGTTGAAAGGCCCACAGCCAGTAAGGAGCATACGCCAGGGCTTAAATCAGCCCCTTTGCTCTCAAGTTCTGTGCCCCTCGCCACTGCACTGTGCAGGCCTGCCTGTGCAGACTGTGCTCAGAGAATGAGTCAGAAACGATCAAGCCTCACAATAGTGCATTCTTGAGAAAAAGAGGAGACAAAGATGAATCGGGAGCCCAGCCCAGCTAAGAAGACAAAAATAAACAGTAGTAGAAAAAATTGCTGAATTCCACAAATGATCAAAGGACTGTGTGAACCCCGAGCAAGGAGCCATCAGATGACCAGGGGTGAAGAGGAAGGATTTAAGAGAAGGTGATGGTTGAGCTGGATTTTGAAGGGCAAACACACAGGAGGTTAGGGTGTGGGAGTGGGTGGGGAGGAGGGTACAGCCCAAGAGAACAGAATGTTCAAAGGTATTCTAGGAAGGGTGAGCCACCCAGGGCTCGGGCGTTGGAAGAGAGCCTCTGGGAGTTAACCAAATTTTGAAAAACTGCCCTGTGTACTAAGGAATCTATGTCCAAGAGGGTAAGCCTGGGGGACCATTGTGGGGTGTCTTAAACCTCTCACGTTGAATGAGAGCAGAAGGGAGAGACTAGAAGCAGGACACTCAGGGCTGAAAGCGCCCCTCTCTCCCAAGAAGATAAAAACAAAACAACCTTAGAATGTGGGGGAAGAGGGGAAGGGTCAGAGTCCAGAGAGTTTTTCTGGAGCTAGAATTTCCTCTGCCCTGGATGGCCTGGATGTGGATGAGTGGCCAGAGAATAACTCCCATCTTTTGACTTGGGAGATAGTGAGAACATTCATTACCTGCAGGTCCAGGAGGTGTGGCAGCTCGAAGAGTTGATAGGTTGAGAGAGGAGGAAGAAAGAGACAGAATAGGTTCAATGTCAGTCTTACCAAGTTTGACTGTCTGAGGAGTCTCAGGTGAGGATCAGATCCAGTTGTGATAAGATCCTGAGTCATTTACAAGCTGGGGGGTCCTTTAAGAAAAAGCGAGTCCTGATGGTATATAGTGGTTTAGGCATTAGGCTGCTCCTTGCAAGGCCAGGAGTTCAAAACCAGTAGCTGCTTCATTGGAGAAAGAGGAGGCTTTCTATTCCCTTAAAGAGTTACAGTCTTAGAAACCTTGAGGGGCAGTTTTACCCTGCCTTATAGGGTAGCTGTGGGTTGTAATCAACTGGATGGGAGTGAATTTGTGTTTCTGAGTTGAGGACTTAATGTCGGGGGTTTAAGTGGAGAGAAAATGTTTTGAGAATGAAGTACAAATGTGCTTTACCCAATTGATGTGTGTATGGATTGTGATAAGAGTTGTATGAGCCGCCCCTAATAAAATCAAAAAAAAAAAAAAAAGATAAAGCCCCCCCAAAAAAAGAACACAATCATTGGTTAAAGCTTATGGAACCAATATGATTTTATGCTGAGGGCCAATGGTTTTGAAGCACAAGATTTCATGGATAAAATGCTGAATTAAGACAATGTATTTTTATAATTATAATAATAAAGATAAGTAATATAAAGATTCCAAAAAAGAAAAGAAAAGGAAGTCCTGACTGCAGTGGTAAATCTCTCAGTTGCTAACCAAAAAGTCAGGGTTTTGAACCTACCAGTCACTCCCAGGGAGGAAGATGCAGCAGTCTGCTACCCATTTCTTCATTTATATCTATATTTATATCATCTATATCTAGAGCTACATCTATAGCTAATCTATATTGCTATCCATAGCTATATATATCTGCCCAAACCACTTCCATCAAGTTGATTCCGATTCATAGTGACCCCATATAGGGGTCCGAGATTGTAAATCTTTCTGGGAGCAAATAGCCTCGTCTTTCTTCCTTGGGGTACCTGGTGGGTTGAAACCACCGATGTCTTTAGCAACCCAGGGCCTTCCCTGCAGCACCACCAGCCTTGGAAACTGACAATTTCCACACTCTGGAAACTAGGACAGTTCTGAGCTGTCGTCTAGGGAGGGCTGCTATGATCTGGATCGATTAGGTAGCAACAGAATCTGTAAGAAAGACATCCCTTTGTGGTGCCAACAGTTAGCGTGCTCAGCTGCTCACTGGAAGGTTGCAGGTTGTAGTCCATGCAGGGATACCTGGGAAGAAAGGGCTGGTGGTTCTCAAAAATCACCCATTGAAAACCCTATGGGACAGAGTTCTACTCCAACTCAAAGGGGAGGGCCATGAGTCTGAGTCTGTTGTACTGGCATCTGGTTAAGCCTTTCAGAAAAGCCCATTGTAGAAAATGACTACGTTAGGTACAGACCTTTGGAAAAGACCCATGCACAGGGGAATCCTGAAGCGTCTGCCTCTTTAACTCCGTGGCAATTTATTCCTGCCTCTGGACAGATGCTGAGGGCTGACTGGAATCCCCTTTGAGGCTGGGGTAAGGCTGTGTCTTCCTGTTCAGAAAGTCCCCAGGTTCGTGTCTCTTAGCTGTAGGTCACTCGTTATCTTGTTTAGACTGTTAAAGCTCGTTAAAATTAAACCAAGGGCTCTCTGATGGTGATGTCTAGGAAGGACCATACTGTGCCTTTTGATGTTTCTGCTGAAAAGATACCCTGCTTCCTAGCACACACGTGACCTAAAGGAAAAAAATATCAAGGGACGTGTGTGGCATGAGGTCTTTCACCATGACTAGTGACTCAGAGGATGAAGATGTGCTTTCTCCATTTAGATGAAGGAGCCCACTAGTGGTCCCCCACCCACCCCCACACCTGAGGGGAAAGACCACTAGCGATCTGCTCCCCTGGAGACTCCAAAAAGTCAAACCCAACTCACTGCCGTCAAGTTGACACCAACTCACAGTGACCCTGTAGGACAGGGCAGACCTGCCCCTGTGCGTTTCTGAGACGGCACCTCGTTAGGACAGTAGAAAATCTTGTCTTCCTCCCTCTGAGGGACTGCTGGTTTCCCACTGCCCACCTTGTGGTAACCACTCCATCACCAGGGCTCCCATGGCCTAGGAAACCTGATGGGGCAGTTCTGCTCTGTCCGACGGGGTCCCTGTGAACGAAAAGTCGACTGGCCGACATACCTTAGAGCACCGATAGGGATTTGGAGCTGTGGTGGCTTAGTGGGTTGTCATCGGGCTGCTGACCACAAGATTAGCAGTTTGAAACCCCCCCCCACCACCAAGGCCGTGTGTTTACATAATCATTCCATTGGCACTTAACAAAATTAGTTCCTTTGAAGCAAGATGGGTGTGGAGGAGGATGGTAGGACTCTTGTTTATACTGTGTCTTTGATAGCACTCACTCACTCACTCACTCACTCACTCACTCACTCACTCACTGCCTTGAGTTGATGCAGACCTCTAGTGACCTTGCTCTGACTGGCCCACTGGAATCTCCCAGGATAGGGCCTCACCTGCAGAGTAGCCACCCACCCACCACAGGTGCTCCAGAATCCCACTGAAGCCCTCTGGCTAGCATCGTTTACAGGTCCTCAGCTCTGACCGAGGAGGTGTTAGGAGTCTACCTGATTGAAAACAATCACACCCTGGTATAAATAGCTAAAGGACTTGAATCTGCCAAAGGGTGTTTGCATCTTCCAAGGGGAGCTTGTTCGAAGGGGGCACTGGAGGAGATGGGGACTGAATGGGGTGTGTGAGTCTGTTGGCCTGTAGTAGTGGGTGACTTGGTGCAGCATGTCTAGGGCTGGTAACCAAAGGTTAGCAGTTTGAACTCACCAGCCATTCAGAAGAAGAAATATGAGGTTTTCTGTTCCTGTAAAGATGTACAGCCTAGGAAACCCCCAGAGGGCTTTTGCTCTGTCCCAGAGGACCTCTCCGACTGGAAATGGGGACTCCCTGGCAGCAAGTTTGGTTTGGGTTTGAGGTCCGAATTTGTGTCTCCTCATGTACTGTGTTCATTGTGGAGGCAGAGTGGGTGGTCACCATTTTTTTAAAGGAAAAATTCATGCGAAGTATTTTTAGTTATTTATTTTTGGTGTCATAATAAAAATTGCAAATACTTGTCCTGTGCCTTCCTCTGTGCTGCCCAGTGTTTTAAGCCTGTGAAGCACATCCTGGGGCCCCAAGGTGGTGCAAAGGGTTAACAGGGTCCGCTGCAAATCAAAGGGTTGGAGGTTTGAGGCCACTGGGAGGAATTGGACAAGCCAATGACTAGACAGCGGGGGGAGGGGATTGAGATTTTTATTTTATTATTTTTTTATTCATTTTATTTGGGGCTCATACAACTCTTATCACAATCCACACATACATCAATTGTGTAAAGCACCTTTGTACATTCATGGCCCTCATCATTCTCGAAACATTTGCTCTCTACTTAAGCCCCTGGCATCGGCTCCTCATTTCCCCCCTCCCTCCCCACTGAGAGTTTTATTTGTATGATATTCCAGGAAACAGAGTGGGCCCAGTTGTCAAAAGAACTGTCTCCAGAGCAGAGAAAAGGAGACTTTAAAAAGCCTTTGGAAGGGAGGGAGCCTCGTAAAGGAAAAGTAGTAATTGTGTAACCAAGCTCCAAGGTATGAGTTACACGTAACCAAGCTCCAAGGTATGAGTTACACGCACCGTGTCTCCTTCCTGCCGTCTCTCTCCCGGTTACTCGTGTCATGCTTCCAGTGGTGTCTGCTCGATGCAATGATTTGCTCGCTTTTCCTGGGACTCAGAAGAATAGGTTTTAGTCCAGGTCCTCTTTAGGAGACATTCCTGTTTGTCCAGCTTATCGTTACACACTAATGATTTTGTTTTGCTTTATGCTGCTAAAGAAATTTAAGAATGCTTAGCCCTCTTTTCACTTGCTTTACTATGAATCTATTTCATTCGCTTTT